CACGACCTCTGAAACAACTTTTCCTTATTACAGAACTAAAAGAGCTTCGAACCTGGAACGACTTCTTTCCCGCTTTCTGTCCTTATCCCGACTTCTATCTCTTCTACCGCTAGAGGAACTGTGCTTGTCATCTCTGCGGTCTCTCCTCTTCTCGTTCTTTTTTCTATCTTCATCTTTACTTCGAGCACTACGCAACTTTAGCTCCATCACATTCATTTCCTTCTTTCGGAACTCCTCCACCTTAATGATTCTATAAGACAAAGCATCTCATTGAATGTACCAAACCTTGTTTTTGATGTCAGGATCCCTGGCGCTCTCCAAATCATCTTGATAAGACATAACTTTCACTTCAACTTCGCGAAGCATCCGTCGGCGCACTTCTTCATAATGAGCTGCAGCTTGAGCAGCGTTGGGATCCGTTTCTTGAATTTCTCCTTCGGAATCAGAACTACTTCCAGGTTTATCAGCTGCTTTTCCATCCATTTTGAACCTCTTGGCAGTACCCGCACGTTCTTCATCCGAGTCCCTTCCATCATTTTCCCATTTCGAAGTTGGTTTCTTAACTTCCTCCGTAACCTATAAAGCCAATGGAACATAAAAACTGATGTTATATGTAAAACCAACATCGTTCCAACCAGCGCTCTTGAAACCTCCTTTCTTCTCGTGTTGTGATATAACAGGGTCAACAATTTTCGAACCAAATAAAGTTGTCTGTAAATAGAGAGTCCATAGCTTGGAAAAAAACTATAATGATCATACTGTTGGTTCCAACATATCTTCCGACAGAGGCACACCATCAATGTCGTCATCAATGGGGGCACCATCGATATCCTCGTCATCACCACCATTCTCGGATTCAGATTGGAAATGCTCATCAGAACGCTTCACTAATCCTAAGAAAACGTTTTGGTTGTGTATCAAGAACTCTGTCGGGTAAATGGCGTTGTCTTCCCAAGCTCTAAACAGAAGGGCAGATGAGAGAGAATATAAGAAGACTCTAACCTGAAGCAAAGCATGATCCGCTGTTTGAAATGCTCAGCTTTCAGTCTCGCCTCAATATTACGTAAAGTGTCACCCAATGCTTCGAAGATCTGAAAAGAGTAATTTATATCATGAATAGAAGGATCCAACCTTAGTCATCAACTGTTCAAAACAGGTTCGATAGAAGAATATATCACGAACACCTCGCTGAGCACAATTAGCCAGAATATCACAAATTAGATAAACCCTGCAAAGAGAGCTTGTGATGGAAGAAAAATTACCGAATGACCAACCTAGCAATCTTTTTGTGTAACGGAGTTTCGTCGATGGTTAGCGATTCATAGATCGTTTCACATATTTCTTGAGCATATGTTCCATGATCAGCACACCAAACCATAGCATCTCCGACCTTAATCGATTTGTAAA